ACACACACATGCATTTGAGGCAGGAGGGTGCATTTAAGCGGTGCAGTGGCTCTGAATGCTATTTTCACCCATATAAAATCATATACTGGAACAAGGTTAAAACCTACATACACTACCACAGTCAATAAGTTCGTGGAATGACCACAAAGTGTCATACAGGAATTTACTGCCACTATGTTTCAGCAGTGTTTTCGACAGCTATATCAATGTTGGCAGACTTGTATAGCAGCCAACGGCAACTATTTTGAGGGCTGATGTGGATCTGCATAAGTGTATGTGATTACCTTGTAACATGATGCAATAAGAGCACATTCCACGAACTTACTGACTCTACCACGTGTATGTGTATATATATTGTAACGTGTCGGCAAACCCGAGGAGTAACTTCTATGGAAACGCTACAATAGACCGTTACAGAGGAGACAACAATTGCTTCATGGTAATTCTAACAGGAGTCTCCATGGTTATAACGGAGGGTTCGTTGCCTAACAGCGGGCAAGGTTATAGATAGCCCAGCTTCAGCGGAAAACAGTGAGTCTCGGAATAGCATTCGAAGAAGTCAGTCACGGAACCGCCATCGGAGAAGAAGCTTCAGAATATCCGTCCGGGTCCAGTATCGCCGGAATATTGTAAGCAGTGATTGTGACACTGCAGACGGGAATGATTGTAAAGCGTGTAAGACGAGCAAAGGAATAAATCCGCTATACCAAACGACGGCGTGAACTTATTTGTGGCGTGACAACCAAACACGTTACATTGGTGTCAGAAGTGGGATGAACTTAAACACGCCACTAACAAATTGTTGCGCATCAAGTACTTTACTGCTACAAAATGGAGATGCAGCAGACGATAGAACTTCTACTGAAAGAGATTAGGACAAACCAAGAAAAAGCAGATGCCAATAGAAAGGCCGACAAGGAAGAAATGGAGGCAAACGAGGCCAAGGCGGAGGCCAGACACGCACAGCTGATGGCCGATTGGAGGACTACCCACAAGAAGATTGAGCCCCACTCAGAACCGATGCAGTCCGGACTGGAGCATCGAGAAGTCCCAGTAGAAGACGCCCCGAAAATACCGGTCGGAGAACCGAAGAAACGGCGTAGGGACCTGAGACTGGCCGCGGAGTGCCGCCGCCAGACAGCAGAGAATTCAACGCTGGCAATTGGTGAACCCCAAAAGGAATTGGCCATCACAAGCAGGAAGACATCCCGTCGCGCGACAGTGGCACGACGTTGGAGAAAAGACTTCAAGAAGGAAACTCCCAAGGGAACCTTCGGATGCCAGCGGAAGAAACTGGCCGTCGACCACGGAAGAACGATACACCGGGCGAATGTGGAAAACCTCAAGACAGACATCCTCAGGAACACCACCCAGAAAAAGTGTGGACCCCACGAGAGGTTGGGATTCGCCAGCGAGGGGACGACCTTCCGTGTCAGAGTAGCACGGCGTAACAGGATCCCCAGAAAGAACTGGGTAAGGGACAACATACCGGGAGGAAACGCGAGAGGATACATGCCCGGAAGAGACAACGGGGGCAACCGCAATAGAGTAAGGGGAATAGGAATAGAGCCCCATAGAAAAATCCCCAGGACATGCAAGAAGACGACGGAACTAATGACCAGGAAGCGTATAGCCGGATCTCCCGTCGGCCTACGACAAGAAAACAGTTGGAAGATGTGGAGGGGCCGACCCCCTCCAAAACGAAAAAAAGGGAACGGCCCTTATGGGAGGAACCGGTAACGTAGAAGTACCGGCCTCCCCAGCATGTGCATGAAGAATGAAAGTGAGGAATGAATGTGAAACAACGAGATTACAAATTCTGGACCACGGAAGTGCTCGAGGGCGAGCACAACCGAAGAGAGGGGCGGAGGCGGTTAGGCTGAACAGAGCACAAAGATGCCAGCAGACACCAAGGCCGAATGCAGACGCTGCCAACAAAACACTGCGGCATCGAAACCGAGGGAGAACCTTTAGGCTGTTCGGGGACGAACAGCCTTTAGAGGGG